GGAGGACGTTCTTTTCACCGCGAAGAGGCGTTCGAAAAAAAATGCACGGAGAGATTTAAATAATAACAATAATAATAATAATAATAATAACATTATTATTATTATTATTATTATATAAAATTAAAAAAAAAAACTTATTATCCTTATTTCATTTCAACCCACGCACACATGCAACACGCCTTATTTTAGGTATCTCTCTCTCTCCCTCTCTCTTTCTCTCTCTCTCTCTCTCTGTCGCATTCCTTGTCCAGTTGGTAGGCAGGGTCACTATAAGTCCCCTCTGGCAAGAGTTCAATCCCTACCGTGGTGCATGGAGGGTCGAATTATAGACACATGGCGCGGGCTCCCATCATGGGATCGGATTGCGCATGGGAAATCGATATTTGGGCATCTGCCAAATATCAATTTCCTTTAAAAAAAAAATAGTAAAAACAACCCCTCACACTACCTCCCTCCAAGACTCTTTTCTCCTTCACGTTATACAGCGGCAGCCCCCCACCTCCTACCTCGCCGAAAATCGCTAACGTCGCAGGAAAATCTGAGGCTGAGCCAACTTTCCATAGAGCCTCCCAAGCTTTCTGCATCTTTAACGAAATTTGTAGCCCTTGAACAACCCAACCCACATCACTGTTGCCGTCGGAAAAGCCCTCTAAAGCTCACCACCACGTTTCAATTTTGCACGAAAAACTCTTCCTAAATTTGCCCAAATTGTCATATTAGCCTTCTTAGGTCCTTAGGAAGCCAGATCAATTATAATTATTTTCCATCATTTTTATTTTCCATCATTTTGGCGGTTGCTAACGCCTCCTCCAAGCGAGGTCAAGTCAACTCCAGCGAACTTCTAATCCGACTTAAAAACGATATCAAACTGACACCACGATGAGTTGGATAAGCTCAAGAAGGTCTACTTATTCAAACCTAATTGAGAACAAACCTTTTAGGCTCAGGTATATGTCTTAAATTGAAACGATGATTCCAAGCTTTCATCCCTTCCAGATCGAAAAGTTGATCATAAAACACCTAAAAATTTGTATGGATGTGATCTATTTTTTGAGCTGAACAAAACGAGCCCAAGAATGGGAAATTTAGTTGAGAATCGACGGAGAACAAATTCCAGGAAGTTCCAGCCATTGAAACTGTTTCGCGTGCAGGGGCGAGATCGGGAAGAAGACGCAGCTTTTTAGCATTTTGTTTTTTTATTTCAAAAATTTAAATTAAATTTCAAAATTGTATAAAACTCAAAAAAATAAACCAAAAGATGTTATGAACTCGGAAAAATGAGGAGAATGTTTTAAAACTGAAATCACAATTTTTCATCATGGAAATATTTTTAAATTAATTTTTGGAGTATTTAAATCATAAAAATTAAAATATAAATGGGAAAAATATGAGCAGAGATATTAAGTAGCTTGGAAAAAACCTTCTCGAATTTTTTCAAGTCATTTTGATTCCTCTGTAGGGAGATTTCTTTTTTTAAATTAAAACAGGTCATTTTAAATAATTAAGAAAAATAAGAAATGTGGAATTTCCAAATCCATTTTGATTTTGTTCTTTGACTTAAACAGATCTTGGAAACCTTAAAATCATATTTAAAACCATTTTAATAATCATAATTCACTAATTAGAGGAGTATGTTTGAGTTAGGTTAGGTTAACCTAACCCGAGCTCAAGCTAAACCTAGTCTAGTCTATTTATGGTTCATGTTGGTCTCTTAGCATTAGTGAGATTGAATTCATCCCCTTAGGGTGAACCCAATTTAAACTCAATACTTGGTTAGCTAACTTCAGGGTTACATTAGTTAACTTAACCTCAGGTTAGTTAATCCTAAATCAATAGGATTAGTTAACCTAAACCTTAAGTTAGTTAACCCTAAACCAATAGGATTAGTAAAGCTAAACCCTAGGTTAGTTAACCCTAATCCATAGGATTAGTTAAGCCTAAACCTTAGGTTAGTTAACCCTAAACCAATAGGATTAGGTAAGCCTAAACCTTAAGTTAGTTAACCCTAAACCAATAGAATTAGCTAAGTCTAAATCTTAGGTTAGTTAACCCTAAACCAATAAGATTAGTCAACCTAAGCATTAGGTTAGTTAATCTTAAACCAATAGGAATAATCGATCTAAATCATAGGTTAGTTAACTAATCCATAGGATTAGACAAGCCTAAACCTTAGGTTAGTTAACCCTAAACCAATAGGATTAATTAACCTAAACATTAGGTTAGTTAACCATAAACCAACATAATTAGTTAACATAAAACTTAGGTTAGTTAACTCTAATCCATTAGATTAGACATGCCTAAACCTTAGGTTAGTTAACCCTAAACCAATAGGATTAATTAACCTAAATCTTATGTTAGTTAACCCTAAACCAGTTAGTTAACCAGGTTAGTTAACCCTAAACCAATATGATTAATTAACCTAAACCTTAGGTTAGTTAATCATAAACCAACAGAATTAGTTAACTTAAACCTTATGATTAATTAACTCTAATCCATAGGATTAGACAAGAATAAACCTTAGGTTAGTTAACCTAAACTGATAGGATTAGTTAACCTAAACCCTAGGTCAGTTAACCTTAAATCGATATGATAAGTTAACCTAAACCCTATGTTAGTTAACCCTAAACCGATAGAGTTAGTTAACCTAAGCCCTAGGTTAGTTAACCCTAAACCGATAGGATTAGTTAGTCATAAACCAATAGGATTAGTTAACCTAAATCCTAGGTTAGTTAACCCTAAACTGATAGGATTAGTTAACCTAAGCCATAGGTTAATTAACCATAAACCAATGTGATTAGTTAACCTATACCTTAGGCTAGTTAACCCTAATCCAACCTTAATCTTTAGGTAAAACAAACCTAAATCATAGCTTAGCTTTAAGCTAAACCTACCTTAAGCCTTAAGTTAAAACATAACCCATAGGTTTAACACAAGAAACCTTTTTTTTTTAGGTGTAATCTTAAACTTAAGTTAAACCTAAACTCCTCAACTTGAACATCAATTAAGAAATAAAATAAAACACATCGGGATGTGTAAAATTTACATAAAATATATTAAAACTTAAACTTAAATCAAATCAAATGTAACAAGGCTTTAAAGCATTGCTTTGAGGTTAAGTTAGCTTCAAAGTCGTTAACTTCACATAAATATTAACAAGTGAACAAAAATAACTAAAATAAAACACTTAAAATCCAACAACAATATGTAAACAACCTAAAACATTTCAACCTTAAAAATCGATAAAATAACTCAATGATTAATCCAATATTAATCACAAAGATCACATAACGCAACTTAAACTCCCTTTTTGTTCTTGTTTACGAAGATTCCTTGGACGATGCATTCTGTGAATGTTGACAAGAATCTATGTTGACAAGAATCTTCCGGTCCATCTTCCGGTCCTGGTGGGCAACCACTTTTCGAACTAAGTAAACTAGGGCATTAGACGACCCGGAACAACGGAGCCATAGACATCTTGATTAGGTTACCACTAATTAAATAATTAAAATTTAATAAAAAAATGATAAAATATTGTTTCTTTATTCTCTCTACTTATTACTTTATGTATCTCAATGCATGTTCTTTTATTGCTGTTAGCAAACATAGAATGCATGTGTTAAGGACAAATAATGAAGGAATAAAAGTTTTTTAGATTAAGGAGAGCCTAGAAATCATAACACTAGAGAATTACTTAGCTTAAGTAAACTTAGCTTTGACCTAGGTTTGAACTATACCTCAACCACCCTTTAATTAATTCACTATAAAATTATCGAAACAAATAAAAATTTTAATAATAAGATTGGAGGACCTGAAGACTTGAAGACCTGAAGACATTTTAGTATGAAACTTGGAGCAGACTTTGTGGGCAGCTCGTTCAAGACCCTTTCTTTAGATTAAATAAAAATCCTTAGGATTTCGATGCTCTTTTATGACATAAAACCTCTCTTTTTATCATGCTCCTACATAGTCCCGATATGCAACATGTCCTAACTTGTTTTAGAATTCTGAGGTAGTTACTCGACGTAAAACCTCCTATTTTTTTAGGTTTTTTGTGTAAATCATAATTACATAAATCTAAGCCTTAATTAATAAAACTGACAAGAGTTAACTTAAATTAATATCATCCTAAATTGAGCCAAACATTAGGATAGTTTGGGGGATTACCAAGAACCAATTCTGGATCTTTAATCTCTCTTACTTTTCTTATTTTGATTCTTAAAACAAAATCTTTCATCTTTGAACCAATCCCTATTGTAAATTTCACAATCATGTTCGTTGAAAACACTTCCTTTTGAATTCATGAAAACAAAAGATTCTTAATTTTTATCGAGAGTTTTCTTAAGTGATTCATTCGCTTAAGATGTAATTAATTATAGGGGCTTGTCTTATAGGGAACTTAAAAGAACCCAGACTTAAAATAAACCATATTTAACTCCCATATTGAATAGGGGAATCTGTCGGTCATCATGCAAACTTGCAGATCAAATGGAAGTCATTTATTTCTATAGTTTATTTAATCGAGCTTATCATCAAATAGTGTATTACCCTTCAGAGTGGTACGTTACTCGTGGTTAGCTTGATTATTCAGACTGTAGGAATCAATGAGATGAATTTGACCCCATTTTCTTCAAATTAAAATATCTAATTTATAAATATTATATTACACTAAATTAAACCGCACCCAGTCGTATGGCGACCAACAATGCATCAACAGATCGATGGAAGGAGAAATTAGAGGTGGAATAAGTAAAAAAATGTTTTAGGAACGCAAACAGAGAATGCGACAGAGAAGTCCATTCTTTCTTTATCCACCTATTGGGCAACAGAGAATGCGACAGACAGAGAAGTCCATTCTTTCTTTATCCACCTATTGCTCTCTCTCAACTCCAACCTCTCTTCCTATCTCTTGGGTTACACAATGTGAACTACAATACAGTTTTTCAGTTTTGATTGTATTTAAATATCTAATGCCTCAAGTTTGAGGTATTATTAGATATATAAATGAAAAGGAACTAATCTTTTAGAATGAATATATGAAGAAAGACAGCTGAAATTTTTATTTCGCCTACTTCAATGGCGACCTCAAGAAACCCCAAGAGCAAGCAGCCGGCGGCGAGACCTCCTTTCCTTCCCATCGCGACCGCTGCGGTAGCCATTGGACTCCTCTGGATTCTCTTTCACTCATCTTCGTCCGCTCACCATTTCCCAAATCCTTTCTTCGGAGCGGCGGCGAACGCCGGCGAGAAGGATGGATCGAGCGGTCTGGAGCGGAAGTATCTTTACTGGGGGAATAAGATCGACTGCCCTGGAAAGCACTGCGATTCTTGCGAAGGACTTGGACATCAGGAATCCAGCCTCAGATGCGCGCTCGAGGAAGCCCTATTTCTGAACAGGTGTGAAAAAAAAAAATGAATTTCGATCACAAGTAATGAATTGTATTGTGGAATCTTTGAATTCACTGGTCCAAAGATGTATATATATCTCCTCCTCCCGTGCTTGAACATTAGAATTTGGTTCCCAAGCGTGATTCGGCGGAAATTTGCCGAACAGTACTTTTAGGGTTTTTGAATTCTGCCATTTTTGAGAAATCTAGTGTTATCTATTTTGTTGTTTGAATCGGGATTTGTTAAATCCTACCATTGATAAGAAGGCCAATACACACAAAATTTCTCACAACGGTAGAATCCCTCCAAAATTTTTTTTTTGCAGGATTTAAGCTAAATGTTGTTTAAATGCAGCCTATAATAGTGGTGTTAACATGAGAATCATCAAGACAGTAGGATTTAAAATTCCCAGGATTCTATTTGGCAGCATTAAAGTTGAATTTTAATTGAATTCTGTCTAAAATATGATGAAAAACAGCATTTCAAAGCTTTTCTCCACAAATTTGAAACCCTAAAATAAATTTTTAAATGGTTTATTAGCAAGAGTTTACAATTGTCATTCAAAAAAAAAAAAAAAAAAAAAATTTTAAAACCCACCCAATTTTTTTAGATTTGTTAAATTGCACTTGTAGCCAAAAAACTTCTTATTGATGAATTTTTTTTTTTTCCAGAGTATTTGTGATGCCCTCTAGAATGTGCATTAACCCAATACACAACAAGAAGGGAATATTACATCACTTGATGAATGCAACATCAGAAGAAAGGTATGTTTTTCAGTGTTGTCATTTAATACTCCATAGTTTTTTCATAGGAGGATTTACATAAATACCACTAAATTCTTATATACCTGCATATGTGACACCAAAACTTCAATTTTTACATACATGGCACCTTCACCATGCATGAAAAGGTGTATTTCACTTTTTAAAAGTTAAAATGCTGATATTTTAATGTGACATGAAAGATTTGGGTGACATAAATGTAAAATGTAAAATGTAAAGTTTTGGTGTTAGATATGTAAATACATAGGAATTGGGTGGAATGTATGTGAATACCCCTATTTCTTATACATGAACATTTGAATCCATTTTAATTTTGCATGGCTTAATCCTTGTTGAATTATATAGCAATTAAATGATTTTTCTGTTTTATTATTATTATTTTCCTTCATTCAATCAAGGTAAGAACATTAAGGCCACTCTGAAAAATGTAATGATGGGTGTCATTTGAAATTGCAGTCTTTTTTTTTCGGCTTAGGAGAAGGATGAATGCATGTACTAACTTGTCTTTTTGTGTAATAATTGATTTTTAGTTGTGGTTTTCTTGAATGTTTTTTTTTTTTACAGATTCACTAATTACTGCTAGAAGGTGGGTGATTATGCTCATTTTACTAGAATATTAGAAACATCTTCTTAACAAAGAAACCATAATTATTTTCTAGTATATTGTTTTATAATAGATTGACATTTTAATGGGAAAAATATTTTATCTTTTTTTGGGCTTAGGATGAAAAGATTTTAAACTGAAAACATCCCAACAACAAAGTAAATTTAATTCTCCATGAGAATAATTAGAGCCAAACATTTTCGCCAAGCTTTGTCCATAAAATTTAGGGGCATTTACATGTATATCATGTATTTACATAAACTTTGTATGTCACATTTACACAACCAAAATATTTTGACTTTAAAAAAGTGAAGTGCACGTTTTCATGCAAAGGTAAGGTGGTACGTAAGAATTGAAGTTTAGCTGTTAGATATGTAAATACATAAGAATTGAGTGGTGTATATGTAAATCTTCCTAAAATTTATATTTTTGGTTGTTTATATTAGTTTATATGTCTTGGGTGGGCTGGCGGGCGCTTTTGTGGATGAGCTATAACATGCTTGAAACGTTGTAATTGACTTATTTTACCTTTTGAAACCGCTATTTCTTTAAATCATATGCGAGTGTGTGTGGCATGACAGCTGACTTCTTTTATCACACGAAACTCTTAGGACCCATATGGCATCACTTTTGTTTCCTTTGTTTGTTTGATTTTTTTCTTTTTGAAAACATGCTTGATTGGTATAAATTTTATATGTTTATATTTTTTGTTTTTAAAAATAAATCGACTTATTTTTAAAAGCACTAAAAACACCTAACAGATGCTTCTAAGTGTTTTTTAAAAATAATCACCTCAATCAAACATGTATTAATTAAGGAAGATTTGCATGCATATCACTCATATCTAACACCTAAACTTTAATTTTTATATATCTCCCCCCTTATCTATACATGAAAATGTGTATTTCACTTTCTAAAAGTTACCCCCCTTATCTATACATGAAATGTGTATTTCACTTTCTAAAAGTTAAAATGGTGATATTTTTTTTTGTGATATGTAAGATTTGGGTTATATAAATGTAAAAATCAAAGTTTAGCGTTTGATATGTAAATACATAACAATTGGGTGATATGCATGTAAACGCCACTTAATTTAAATCAAAACATAAGCAAAACAAAATAAAAATTAAAAAATTAAAATGTAAAAGACAAAAATGATGCCAAACGACTCCTTAATCTCTCCTATTAACATTTTATTTCTTTCTTTTAGATGGGCTGCAGGTACTTGTGCTATGAGCTCTTTGTATGATTTGGATCTTATCTCCAAAACAATTCCTGTTATACTCGACAATTCAAAATTGTGGCATCAAGTACTATCAACGAGTATGAAGCTCGGAAAGAGCGGGTCCACGCGGAGGGGGTTAGTCGAGCCGATCTTCAGTTTAATTCTTTATATTCAAATGCATTGCTAATAAACCATTCTGCAAGTCCACTTTCATGGTAAACTTTCATTTTCAGGCTTATTTTTTCTATTAGAGTTTTACATACATACCACACAATTCTTATGCATTTACGGAGTTTTACATACATTCCACACAATTCTCATGCATTTACATATCTCACACCCAAAGTTTGATATATACACGAATAACACTTCTATATCATAAACTTACGCATGAAAATGTGTATTGTGATGGTGGTATTTTTGACATGATATTGAAGATTTGAGTGTTAATTATGTAAATATGAATGTTTGAGTGCTAGATATGTAAATGTTCCTTTTTATCATCCGACAATTTGACATTATAAATTAGTAAAATATACCAATTTTATCAAGTTTTAATCATGATAAATAGATATCCAGGTTTATGGAGTGCAAGGATCGAACCAACCACACTTCAGTCATGTTATCATATTCATTTCTTCCTATGAGTGCGGCTCCAAAGTTAAGAGATGCCGCGAACAAGGTACCTACTTTTCTAAAGCTATATTATAAGGCAAGTCCTATTATTTTAAAGGAGAAAAGTGTCAAAATAGTCCCTTGACTCTTTATCGACGTTTATTTTAGTCACAAAGTCTATAAAAATGTCAATTTAGTTCCCAAATTCTTAAAAAAGAGCTGAAATAATAGTGGTCTCTGGGGGCTTTATTACTGTTTTACTTTGTTAATCTTTCTAAATTAAACAAAAATTTTTTTTTTTTTTTGTTTTTTGCAGATCAAGGGCTTACTAGGTGATTATGATGCCATTCATGTGCGCCGGGGCGATAAGATAAAGACGAGAAAGGATCGATTTGGAGTTCATAGAAGCTTGCACCCCCATCTAGACAGAGATACTCAACCTGAATTCATTCAAAGGAGGATTCAAAGATGGATATCGCCGGGGCGCATGCTATTTATTGCTTCAAATGAGAGAAAACCTGGCTTTTTTTCGCCTCTCTCTGCAAGGTATGTTGGGTATAAAATTAATTTCTTGATTTGTTATAAAGCTTATGTCTTTTTTTTTTTTCCGCTAGCCAAAATTATGATAAATTTTTTGCCAAAGTTTGAAATGGTAAAATACACTCTTTCATGAGTAGGTTTTGATGTCATTGTGAGACTAAAGGGTTATATAAATAAATATCAATGTTTAAGCATTAGAATATGCAAATATATGAGAATTTTATGGCATTTATGTAAATACACCCCCCCTCTTGATGGATTATTTTCGAGTAAAATGTTTTACAAAAATCTATGCATGAAAAGATGAATTTCCCTTTTAAAAAGTTATTCATAATGCTTAGTTTTTTTTTTCTTATTCTTCAAAAGAATGATCGGAGGCTATTAAACGAGCTCCCAATCACCCTCATGTGCCTAATTATTCGAGGACCGCCCTCACTCCCGGCAAACTGGCCTGAGAGGGATTCGAACCCATAACCTGATGGGACTTACGACCTTCAAAGAGGCTGCTCTACCAACAAACCACGGCTTATGGCTCAAGCTTAGTTATATATATATATATATATATGTATAATACATAAAAAATGTGAGGTATTTATGTAAATGCCCCTATTGATTATTGGCCCTCTCTTCACTGCAGGTATAAGTTGGCATACTCATCAAACTACAGCAGCATTTTGTATCCAATAATTGAGAATAATTACCAGCTATTCATGGTGGAAAGATTGATCCTAGCTGGTGCCACCACTTTTGTCAAAACATATAAAGAGGAAGAAGATGATCTCAGCCTCACTGATGATCCTAAAAAGAACACCAAAAAATGGCAGATTCCTGTCTACAACATGGAAGCAGAGGAATGAAGTCGACTTCTGTAACCTTCAATTTTACAATTTTGCTATTTTATGCCTCCATTTTTTCCTTGTAAAATTCAAATTTTTTATTTTTTATTTTTTCGTTGATTTTGTAAGGTATATATATATATATATAGATATAATAAACAGAGGCATGGAAAGAAAATGTAAAAAAAAAAAGGAAGTAGAATGTAATTCATGTGTAATTATACAGTTATTATTATTATTATTATTATTTAAAAAGATTTACATATATACCACTCAGTTTCTATATATTTACATATCTAACACCCAAACTTCAATTTGTAAAAATTGAAGTTTGGGTGTTAGATATGTAAATACATAGAGTATGTATTTAAATGCTCCTATTTTTCTATTCTGAGGCTTTTGTGGTCATTTTTATGTATTTACATATCTAACACTTAAAGTTTGATATTTACATTGATGACACTTGTATTATAAACCTATTCATGAAAAGATTTCTTTCACTTTTCAAAAATTAATAATAATCATAGTTTTTCTACGTGATCTCAAAGATTTGAGTTGTGAGCATTGTATGCATGTAAATATTAAAAGTTTAGGGGTTAGATATGTAAATACATAAGAATTGTGTGTTATGTGCATAAAAGCCTCATAAAATAAATCAATTATTTGTATCTCAGAATTATTAAATTTATTTTTGGATTATTTTGATTGATTAATCGGAGCCCAAATTCGATTCATATAATCTCTATAGCTATGTAATATAACCTTTTAATTGATTATTGTTTTTAAATTAATGCAGTATAATTTTTACATACATAGCACGCAATTCTTATGTATTTACATTTATCACACCTAAACTTTCATAATTACATATATAGCACTAAAATTTATAATATCATATCAAAAATGGTACTTTTAACCACTTCTTAAATACCAAATTCAAATTTTAATGTATAGATTTAAGATGCCACATTACAATGTATGTAAATATGACAGGTTAGGCAACGTGTGTAAATAATAAGAATTGTGCTTTTAGTATGTAAATTTCCCTTGATTATCTATTTCTCAAAATAAATTTAGTTGTTACAATGCTTCGGCCAAAATTGATTCGACGGATCCAAATGACGCAAATTTTACTTTTTTGTTTGAAAAAAGATTAGTTCGAGGCTATGATACGAACCCCCCAATCAAATCTTGTCTGACCATTCAGTTTATCCACGTATAAGCGGGTTCAAACTGTCGACTTTAGGAAACTCAGAACTGATTTTGCAGATATCAACCATATATATATATATATATA